CTTGTGGACTGGGACTTGTCCCATGATTTCCTTTGTGGCATCCCTTGGAATATAGTTTTTAATCATCCCATTCAAAAATGCACATCTGAGGTCTCCTCCTGGGTAAAAACCAACATCGATGCTTTCATTCCAGCAAGAAAATACCTAGTTAAGCTGCATTCATCTCCTTGGTTTTCACCCACTTGTACTGCCACTATAGCCCACAGGAATCACTTCTTCCATTTGTACCAGAGGGGCATGTCTCTTTATCTCTGCTCATAACGAGAGTAAGTATGTGCTCAATGAAATAAAGTTACTGTTTGCTGATAGAATGAAACCTTGTATAGCATCTCACAAGTTGGGTTCTAGAGATTATTGGTGGCTCTACAAGAGTGTACTGAACAACAGCAAATTCTCAATCCCTTCTCTCTTCAATCAATTAAAAGTCCTAACATCTACAGTATATAAGGCTAAATGCTTTGCTTGAAAATTCTCATCCAACTCAAATTCTTAACTTATCGGGGGAAGTCACATCTGACTTCCCAACCTCCAGAACTGAGGATCTACTGATGATATGTGCATCATTTCTAAATTAGACTCCCATAAGGCAAGTGGAGTTGATGGGATACCAGCCATCATCCTAAAGAAATGTGCTCATGAGCTATAGCTCCAGTTTTTTTTCAAACTACTAGTCTCACTACTTCCTGCTTTCCAGCCTGTTGGCAGTCCTCCTCTGCCATCCCCGTTTTTAAGAACTCTAGAGAACCTTCTGACCCTCTACCATCTCATCAGTCTCCTACTACTTTTTGGCAAAGTCTTTGAGGATTTAATCAATGTCGAAGTGGTTAAGCATCATACCTCTCATGATCCACTCTCTGACAATATGGATTCTATTTTTCCTGCTATACTGCTGATCCTTACTATATATATATATATATATATATATATATATATATATATATATATATATATATATATATATATAAACTGAATATGTATATCATGCTCTTCATAATAACAGAAAAGGCATTTGACATTTTGGCATGCTGGTCCTCTATGTAAGCTTCAGTGATATGGTATTACAGGACGATTATTTGGTTTAATCCAATCATTCCTATCAAATTGTGAAATGAAGGTCATCCTGAATGGGTTCTCTTCTTATTCCCTCCATACAAACACAGGAGTTCCCCATGATTGGAGAACTACACTGTTTCTGATCTTCATCAATGATCTCAATGATGTCATCATTTTTCAAGTTAGCATCTATGCAGATGACACTATCATTTACTCCTGTCTCAATAGTAAATCCAGCAGCTCTGACAGTTAACCTGAATGCAGCTCTTGAAAAGGACATCTAATCAGTGGTTAACTGGGGCAGTAAATGGCTTGTAAACTTCAATGCCTCCAAAAGTAAACTGCTCTCATGTAACCACCACAGAGAACCTTCCCCCCCCCTTCAGCATATTTGATGCTTGACTCCATGTGAATGTCTTACTGTGACTCTTGGCCTCACATTTTCCAATGACTTGAGGTCATACAACTACATTGAATCAATAGCTGTATCTTCTACAAGGAAAGTTGGTTCACTGTATCGTGCCAGAAGGGTTTTCTCGTCAGTCCATCTTACATATCTACAAATCTACTATTCATCTATGCATTGAATACTGTTGCCGTATCTGGTCTTGTGCCACTGCTGTTCATTTCAAAATTCTTGAGAAAATCCAAAGAAGGATCTGCAAATTTTAATCAGTCCTGACCTGACCTCTCAACCTCAGTCAGTTTCTCATGATCTTGATGTGGCTTCCCTCTGTCTTTTCTATAAATATTTTCATGGCAACTGTTCTGATGAGCTATCTTCCCTGATACCCTGGCTACATTAATTTAAGCCTGATACTAGATTGGCATCTAGGTCCTGCCCTTTTACTGTTGAAATAGCTAAATGCAACTGCCACTTCTACTGCAACCATTTCTTATGCTTTCCAACAGTGAAACTCATTTCTTCTAACTTACTTCCCTGATAACTACAATATTCAAAAATTTAAATGCAGCATCAATCACCATCTTCTGTTGCCTTGATCCCCATTCTTCTTTTATCCTTTTCTCAGTTCCCTCTATACATAGTCTTTACCCTCATTTCACTCTCTGTAACCTCCTGCATGCTAGTGGCACTCCCACCTTGCTTAGAGTGAATTGCTTAAGAAAAACAAAAAAAGAAGAAAATCAACATTATAGATAAAAAAAAATAGTGAATTCTATATAATGCTTATTCACAACTTAGAATGAACAAAACAGATTTGGACAGAAGAAAAAGACACCAGAATGATGCCAAAATCTGCAAAATATTTTCTTCCTTTCAGTCATCAGTTGTACTTAGTTTAATTTGTATTGTATATAAATGAAGATAGAAAAACAAATGTTGATAAGATAGCAAGTTACAAAGCACTTGCCATGGGCTCCCAGTCAGGCATGAAAATTGGGAGTAGTACACACCAGCCCTTCATGGATTTGATACAACTAAGGAATTTTAGGTCTTTAGGGAGTACTTGGAGAATTAATAAAAGTCTGCTTGTGCAAAACAAGGTTGAAAAAGTGAATTATGAGATGCACACAGTAATTAATGTTGTTAATTTTATTAGTATTTAGAATACTTTAACATAATCTATGTTAAGTGCATTAATTCTATAATCTTGCCAGAAGTGACAAGCTCTGTAATATAAATCTTCTCCAGGATCTTGTAAACCAGCTTTATGTAAAAAAAAAAAAAAAAATAACATCTAGTTGATAGTAATTTTAAATCAGTGCAACAACCTCAATAAATTATGCTGGTTGACTGCTTTTAACAAATTAACCTTTTTTTTTCTTCTAATATATGATTTATAAACATATAAACCAATAAATTTGATGTTAACTGATTTGTAAGGCAAGTAATAATAATAAAAAATAAATTTAGAAAATGTAGATACTGTCTTTTTATTTTCTCTTATTTCACCCTAAGCAAGGCAATAAAGCCACTAAGATGCAGGGGTTTACTGAGTGAAAGAATATAAGAAAAAGAAAATATTAAGGAGCTATAACAACAAAAGAACAAACTAAGCAGACAGATGATGATGATTGACATTGCATTCAAATTTTTGAAGATCAAACTTGACTGGAAAGCAATAAGCCAGGAGAGTTTCACAAGTGGGAAGTGTGAGAGTAGAAACTATTAACATAACTTATAGTTACATCTAGCCATTTCAACCATAAAATGATGTGACCTTGCCACCAATCTAGTCAGTTATGTGCCATGCATGATACACACTTAGGCGATCATGTATCTTTCAATACATGACTGACGAGGCAGATTTTTTTCCCACAGTAGGTTGCCATTACTTTCTGCGGTAGATAAGTTACCATCCAAGGCTATAGAACCCAGTCTGTCCTGCTATTTACCCATAGCTGGGGTGGGGGGAGAAGAGATTTATACCTTTCCGAAGGGTATTAGCACATAAGTGAATGTAATGGATTCGACTGGAATTCAAACTCTGCTCTCTGATTTCTCAATCTGAGCCTCTACCATTTACTCCACCATGTATTCTTAAATTCATAAAGTTTAAGTACCATGTGGGAAAGTTCATCAGAGCAATTATCATGAAAGTGATTATAGAAAAAGCACATGGAAGCTACATTATGGCAGTGGGAAAGTGACTGGAACTAAAATGCCACATCAGGACCAGTGTCTTTGCAGATCCTTTTTTGGATTTAATCAAGAATCTCTGAATATATAGCAGGAGCACCAGACCATATGAGGCAGCAATATTCAAAGCAAAGGTGAATTCTATGTAAGAGATTTGGGTGAGAAAATTGTTGTGCCCAATTCAGTAATAAATTTTCCAAGCAGCAGACCTAGAAATTGATTCGATATAATCTTTACATTATTTTGCTGGAAAAAAATAAACTTGAACAATTATAAATCAGATCACCATTTCTATCCCCCCCCTCCACACACACATACACTTGGTTCCTATTTTGATGTTGATCAGCATAAAGATACCCATTTGCCTCCATTAGTATTAAAGGAACTCTGGAATTAAATTTTCAGATGAGTGATTTTAAGAAACAAGCATAAAACTATTATTTTGTATCAACTTGTAAATCATTTTCTATAACTTTTCTATGATTTCTCAAAATCATAGAAATTATAAATATGAAATATACTTTGTTTTTAACCAGTCAAGTGGTTAGGTGGTGGTATAAAAACCACTATGATATTTTTATTTTACTCCCATTCACTCAAATTTTCTGTTGTCTTCCCCTTTTCATGCAAGCAACAACAAATCAACATATGTTGAATATTTTTTCAATTGTCTTCCAGCCAAAAGTCTTCATGGAATCTAGAACTAATTTTAATGGAAAAATGGAAGTTTCTGGATCTGTTTTGTTTGTAATTCTTCTACTAAAGCTTTTCCAATTGTCTGTAGTTGAGAAAAGTACTACTGTTCCTTAAGTCCAAGAAAACATTTTCAATGTTCTCCATTATGGCTCCAAGATTCTTACCAGGATTAACATTAGGTGAACTTTCTGGCTATCTACCTGAGTCATGATTTTGTAAAATAAAGTTTTTTATAACTTGTGTGCAGCTCCAAACACAATGTATACAATTTTCTTTCTTTCTCAATGATTCTAATAACAAATTTAAAAAAAAAAAAAATGATACAAATATTTACTTGTACACAATTCTCAATAATGACATCAACAAAACCCAAGATCTCTGTAGAGTGAGCAGCCATGGTTAAATGTAAAATAAATGACATAACTGTCCAACAAACAAATTGAAATGAATTGGTAAAGTTTGCAAGAAAAAGAAAAAAGAACAGGGTAAAAATAATACAAAGCAACAGTAATATAGCAAAAAGTTCACAAACTAAGAATTGACATTGACACACAAAAACAAGATTTATGAAGCTATCTTTATTACTATGATTGACTACAATTTTATTATTTTCAGACATGGAACTCGTTGTGCTGGGGAAGTTTCTGCAATGGCCAACAACAGTGTTTGTGGAATTGGAATTGCGTACAATTCTAAAATAGGAGGTTTGAAATGCATTTTGTCTTTTTCTTTTGTTATCTTTGCTTAAATGAGTATATGTAGATGTTTTTAAATTTATATTCTATATATTAACTTGTAATTAACCAAAGTTCTAAGTAAATCTTCTCTTAAACTTTTAAAAGTTGTTACTGCTGATGGCTTATATATATCTGTAAAATAGACAATATGCACATGTAAATCAACACTGTATCTCTGAAGATCACTTGACGTATAAAACTGACAGTCACTATGTAGTGTTGATTTCTGTGTCCACACTATATATTGTTTCTGCAACACATCTAGGTCACTTTATTAAGATGAGTGAATTTCTCGTATCTCTCTCATATATATATATATATATATATATGGAAGCTATGGTAGAAAGATTTATTCTCCCATTTGTATTTCCTCTGTTATTGCCATTATTATATCCGTGATAAAATAGCACCATACTTCATGGGTTGATAAGAATGGCTGAAAGGAAAAGGAATGACAAACATGCTTTGTCCTCAGAGACTTTTATACTAAGACATAGACCAAACTAATATATATATATATATATATATATATATATAATGTATACATGTGACCCATGTGGAGAATAATATATCACATGTATCAACAGTGAGCAGAGAATAAGGAGAAACAAAAAAAGTGTCTTACATGTAATATGGAGATACTCCTGTGTCTGGATAGTCCATGTTTAGGACCAGATTCATCTTCTATGTTCAAGATGAAGACATATTCCATGAAGAGGAATAGCGAGTCTTTGTTTTTTCCAAATTGAGGATTGTAAGACAGTGTCTTTCTATATCTTCAGAAAGATATACTCCCAAAAGAAAATGGTATCATGTTCTTGTAAGCTGCTGGGGAAGGCAGATTTTAAAAAAAGCATCTGCTCGGTTTGGCTGCTGTAAACAAAAACTGAATTTGACTGCTGCTGTCATCACTGTATGGAGTGATGTCACTAAGTGGCTGTCACGTGACCCATCTCCATCAAAGTGAGATAATCGCTTTCTGTGTCCCCATGCACACACACACATACACACACACACACACACATATATATATATATATATATATATATATATATATATATATATATATATAACCTATATTGGACCACCTGATGCCTCATATGTCACTTATCAGCTCAAAGTGCTATAAAAAAAAAAATACCCACAATTTACAAGAATGCTTAAGAAAAATTCTGATCAAAAACTCTAAAATTACATATAAATCACATTACCAGAAACATCTCTCTATAATAGGTCCCTCTGTATTAAACATCTCTCTCCCAGTATCAAGCTCACTTTACTTAACAGTAGGAATGGAGTGTTGAAAGTTTTTTTTTTTTTTTTTTTTTTTTTTAAAATAGAAAGATGTTCACTCAAACTCAACACCAGAAGGCTTGAAAAAAAATGCTCCTACTTGTATTCAAAACATCTTAAAAAGTCAAAACCTAAAGAAAAATTGACAACACCTAAAACAAATGTCCTTGAAAATGGCTACAAAATTGGTTGAAAGTGCTTGGGGAAAATGGTCAATGTTTGCACTGCCTTACTATGACCAAAGGGAAAAATGTAGGAACACTCGAAAAGCTTGATGTTGCCGGTATTCACTTTCAATTTTTCCATTGCTCAGTCTTTCAGTCAAATAGTGGATCTCCTAACTAAATCTGATCAACATTCTTTACTTTATTTGTTCATTACCTCCTCTTCTAGCTCTTGTTGAGCCTCACATCTTTGTCTTCTCAGCAATTCAGATATGGCTGTAGTATCTGTTGATATTTCTTTTGAGTCTTCTATTAGACAGGAAACATCCATTCAAAAGACTACTTTCTATTACTAGCATACTGATTGGGATTCTTTTTTTTTTTTTTTTTTTTTTTTTTTTTTTTTTTGTCAAGCTGTCCCTTGGATTGATATTCTTAACCTTCCTATTGAGAATTGTGCCACTAAAGTTTTTTTCTTGGGTTAAAGTTGGCATCAATGCTTTTTGTACCTTCTCAGAAATACCAAGTGAAAACCTAATCTTTTCTTTGGTTCACACCAGCCAGTTCAGCTACTATAGCCCACAGGAATCACTTTTTCCAGTTATATCTGCATAATAGTTTTGAATACAACAGATGCCTTCTTGTGTCTGCTCATAATTATTGTAAATGTGTCATTAAAGTGGTTCAGTTTTTGTTTTCTGATAGAATGAAGCACAGTATAATCTCTAACAAGTTTTGCTCACATGACTACTGGCAGTTCTGTAATAGTGTCTTAAATAAGAGAAAGTCTTCTATCCCTCCTCCTCTCTTGACTCAATTTGAAGTGTTAACATCTGATAAAACAATTTTTTGCTTGTAAATTCTCTTCAAATTCTACTCTTGACTTCTGCCTGGTATTCCATTTAGAATTAAGTCTATATCGAGTGATATGCATATAACTTCAACTTGATGCTATCCCTGCAATAGTCCTTAAGAAATGTGTTCCTGAACTGTCTACTATTCTCTCTAAACTCTACAATAAATGTCTCACTGCTTCTTGCTTTTCTGTTTGTTAGAAATCCTCTTCTTTAGTTCCAATCTTTCAGAACTCTGGCAAACTATCTGATGCTTCTATTGGCCTTCTACCTTTTTGGCAAAGTACTAGATGTTCTAATCAATTCTGAATTAGTTAAGCATATCACCTCACAGGGCCTTCTTTCAGATAAGCAATATGGTTTTCACTTCTCTAGATCAACTGCTGATGTGTTAGCAATTATTGCTGAAAGTCTATCAAGCTTTAGATAAGAATGGTGAAGCTCAGGCTGTTGCTTTGGATATCTTGAAGGCATTCAGTAGAGTTTAGCATACTGATCTTTTTGTCTTCCATCAACATGGCTGATGCTAACCTCCAGGAAAGTGACCCATTGCACCTTCTCAGACTAACATTTTCTGCTAACATGAAGTGCAAAAATTATATTGAATCAGTTGCTAGATCTTCTATTAAGAATGTTTGTTTTCTGTGTTATGCTAGATCATTTTTCTTACTAGAATCTCTTACATATTTATAAGTCTACCATTCATATGAGCTTTGAATGTTGCTGCCACATCTGGTCTAGTGCTTCTACTATGTATTCAGAGATTCTTGATAAAATCCGAAGAAGAATCTGCAATGTTATTGGTCCTGATTTGACATGTCATCTTCAGTTGCTTTCTCACCACCATAATGTAATTTCCCTGTGACTTTTCTATAAATGGTAATTGTCCTGATGAACCTTCCTATATGGTAGCTAGACTTTATGAATTTAAGCACAGTACTAGATTGATAGCAAGGTATCATTTTACAGTTGAAATGGCTAGATGTAGCCATAAGTTCTATGCTAAGTTTCTTCTCTCACACTTCTTGCTTGTGGAACCCTCTTCTGGCTTCTTGTTCCCCAGTCAACTTTGATCTTCAAAAATTTAAATGCACTGTCAGTCATTTTCTTCTGTCTTAATTCTAGTGAGCCTTCATATTCCACTTGAAAAGCTTTTTATGAACTGCTACTTTGTGGAACTGACTCCCAAGAGGATGCTTCCCCAATCTCTACAATCTTAACCTGTTCTTGTCTAGTGTTAGCTGTTATCTTCTTCACATATCTGCATGAATTGTGCCTCTTACCTTTTACTCTGTAACCTGGCATTTTTTGTGTTTTCATCACTTTTACAATTTCAGCATGAAAGGAAATTACTGTTGTCTCAGAATGAATAACTGATGAATATTTACAACAGTATGATTTTTTTTTTTTTTAATTTATAATCTAGTTTTAAGATTACTTCTTCAGTTAGACACAATGTGTAAATAACATTAATAATAACTATATGTAACTTAGTCTTTCATGAATATTCAATTTATTTTTAAAAAATGTGTATTTAATTTTTTTTTTTTTTTTTTCATGGTAGTGGCATCTAATTTTCAGGAATTTCTTTATAAAACTTCAAATCTTTCTCTTGAAGCATGACATAACTATTTACTGGTTGACCAAAGCAAATTTACACACTGTTACAATAGATTTTGCATTGGGATAATTAAGTATCAGTTTTAGGAGTTAAAAAAAGCATTCATTTGAATTAAGATTCTGTCTATGCTTCTGCGATAAGGTATTGTAACTATTTACAATACCTCATATTGCTATATCACCTGAAGAAGGCTAGAGTGTACAACAGTCAATGTGTGTAATTATAATAATAAAGATGGCAAATCTGAACAATGTAAATAGTATGAATTAAGGTTGTTTGTTAAACCTTTAGAGTAAAAATAAATATTTTTCTGCTAAATCATAAAAATAATCTTTGCTATTGCATTAATTCAATGTGTGTGCACATGCATGATACATAGTTTATTGAAAGATTACTGAAACTGTATACTCTACAAAAGTCAATTATTGTCACATTCTATATGCAAGCAAAAGAATACTTTTATGTTCATTATTTGCATTGTATACTCATTTTTAGAAATTCCTATCAGCAAATTCCTAAAATTGAATGACTTATAGAATAATCATTTATGTACACTTCTGATTAAATTGGGCTAATTTGTTTTTCTGAACAATGTATGCAAATGCTCCCTTGTTAATTTGCATATCTCTCTTGTAATTAATTAGTTCAATTTTAGCTAATTTGTCTCAATATCACTTTCAAATACTTTAGATCTTTTTCGTTCAATATTATATCTCGGAATCTCTTTCTGTTTCAAACAAAACTGTTTATTTTATTATTTTACAAGAAACTCAGACAATAAGCCCTGCCCATTGTAAGTTTATGTTTTGAAATAAAAATAGCATGCATTATTTCTTGGAGTTCTTTATTTTTGTCAGTTCAGAAGATAACTCTATTTAAAATTCTGACTTTGCTTCTTTTTTTTCCCCGGTGTAAAAAAATAAAAAATAAAAAATAAAAATAAAAATACTATGATTGGTTACATGAAATTAATTCTGGTATTTCTTTCAGCCTTACACCTATTTAAGAATTTACTTTTCTACAAACTTGTTTGCAATATGAGCTTCTTTTCTCCAAGTATTTTGTGTTTTGGTGTGCCAAGTGAAAATAAATTTTTTTTTCTTCTTTATTAGGCACCATTCTATAATAGGCTGTAAAAAATATGAACCCTATCTGAAGTTATTATGCAAATCAAATATACCTCAATAACCCAGAAAATTTTGAACCAATATTTGTCAAATTTAAACTCATCCATTTCTACTCTTAGCAAAATATTTAACTAAATTTTCTGTCATTTTTATTGGTTAGTTTTTGAGATATTTGAAATTTACAAAAATTGACTGACTGAAGTTAATATGCAGATTAAACTAATATTAGCTTAAGACCTCTGAAATCTAATAAAAACTATATTTTCTTTTTGTTCATAATATATGTTTGAAACATTGGTAAAAGGAAGGATCTAATAACTGCTAACAAACAAAAAAATAACAAAGTTATTGAGTGAGGGAATGTCCACATTGGAGATATCAAAGGAGTTTTGCAGAGATCATCAAACAATAAAGAAGGCTGTTGAAAATATAAGTTGAGAACTCAAAGGAAAAAGCTTTAAGAACTTGCTTCCTCAAGATGAATGTAAATTAAAGAGTTATAGTGAAGCAACCACTTTTTGACCAGTGCTCAGATCTTTGAAAAAACTGGATTTTAGCGAGTCAAGAAGGATAATTTGTGAATTGAGATCTGTAAAAAAAAAAAAAAAAAAAACAAATATCTTAAATCATCAAAATTGGGTCAAGAAATACATGAAAATTGACTTTTCTAAAGTAATTTTCATGAATGAATCTTGAGTGACATTTGATGGACCTGATAGATTTTATCCAATTCAGACATGCCTGTGGATAAGACAGCAACAAGGAGATGGTAGTGTTATGATATGGGCTAGAATTATCAACCAAACCATTATTGGACAATTCAAAGTCGATGAAGCAGTTAAACTGAACAGTGCTAACTATTTCAATTTTATGAACAAGACTTTCTTTGCATGGTACAAGTCCCAGTTTCACACTTTCAAAGTGAAGTGTGTATTTATGCATGACAACCCTTGAATTCTTTGAGCATAAAAGATTTACAGAAGAGAAGATAATGAAATGGCCACCATGAATTCCTGATCTTGAAAATCTATGGTCAGTTGTGAAGATGAAATTATATGAAGGTGGCAAACTATGACAGCAAAGCAGACCTATAGGAAGTAATTAAAACTATCATGTCAGAATTTGAACCTGCTGAAGTAAAAAAAAAAATTAACAAAATCAATGAAAAGATAGATTACCGGTTGTTATTGAGAAAGAAGTCAATATATTAAAATGCAAAGGATTTAAAGACTTTTATGTTTATTTGTTCTATTATAAATCAATTTTTGGTGATTTTTATCTTTTTATTGAGGTAAAATATGATTATTTGATTTTGTCTAATAACTTCAGACGGCAGTTTTCTTTTTTTTTTTTTTAGAATACATAAAATAACTTCAATAAAGCATTGATATTACCTAAAATTTTAACTCTGGCTTTGTTTTGACATCTAAATTGATTATTTAAAATTTGACTTTTTTTTTTCTCTGCAAACTAAATTTGAATTATTGGAGTTTATACGATTTGCTTAACAGTATGTAGTGTCATTCTCTTAAATTTTTTAATATTCATTTTTTTTTCTCTGTTTCTTGCTTTCAGAAGTGTTAATTTTAACTATTAAATTTTCAGAATTAATTCAATATTTATAACATAATCTCTAAAATAACCACATTTCTATATTGAAACAAATGCAATTTCTAAACTCAATGAACTCTTTTCATTTACTAATTTTTTTCCCCCTACTTTTTTTGTACAGGTGTTCGAATGTTGGATGGATTTGTCACTGATAGTGTTGAGGCAGCTTCTTTGGGACTTAACCCGCAGCACATTGATATATATTCAGCTAGCTGGGGACCAGATGATAATGGTCAAGTGGTTGATGGTCCAGGACCATTAGCTACAGAGGCCTTTCTGAATGGAATTGAAAAGGTAGATATAATTTATTTATTAACAAAAGATTTAGTTAACAATTTTCACAATATTTCTTTTAGGTTTGTTTAGAAAAAATATTTTAAAGTCTTGAGCAAGCATAAGTCAATAAAACGTTGTTTTAGTATTCTATCAATAGTATACTTGAAGTGACAGATGTGGTTCTACCAATGAATGCTAAGAATACCATGGACAGAACATTTGAGCAATGAGGACGTCTTTAGGAAAATAAGAACAACAAAGAAAATTATACTTTCAGTCAGAAATACAGTTGAAATTTCTAGGACTTACAATGAGAAAAGGCCTAGAGAATTTAACACCCACAGGATACATTGAAGCCAAGAGAAGTAGGGAATACAGTGAGTAGCGTATTTAATGAATTTGAGTGGCTGGCAGAATAAGAACAAAAAGTGATGGTATTGGGTCAAAAGTTTATAAAATCCTGGATTAGTCACCTCAGATTTCTAAAAATGGATAGAAATGGATATAAAAATGCTTATAGTCTTAAAATTATGCCAAATATTGTCATACTGCTGAAGAAAATGATGTAACAAGCTATCTTTATTACAATATACATTAAATCAAAATTAGAACTGAAAATATAATTATTAATTGAAATGAAAATTATAATAAATTTGTTGCATAAACCTATGTTGTAAATTAATTGTAGGTGAATCGCACCAATATAATAATGGAGAAAAGTTTTAGTCATCAAAAATAGCCACAATATATTTCCATGACTAGAAAGATTATTACATTAGATAAACTCCTAATTACAGGACTGAAAGAGTATTATATATATATATATATATATATATATAAAATAGGGTTATGTTTTTTGTGACCCTATGTTCCTGTGCCGTAATGACCTTTTGTTCAAAAGTAATGAAAAAGCATTAATTTGTTTTAGATCTTGAAAAAGGTCACCTCCACCTGAAATCAAAAATTTGATTTGTACTATATACACAATAAGAGTAAAAAATTAAATTATTCCAGAAGCTTTATTTTTCAATTTGCTAATGATGTAATTGAATAGTACTTATGTATTTTTAATGTATTTAACAGTTTATAGTTATAGTATAACTTACAAATAAACAAAAATAAGTTCTAAAAGGTTCCAGAAAGTCATAGCTCAACTATACTTGTATTTTTTGTATTTTAGAAATTTTGTGTTGAGGATGAATTTTTTTTTTCTTTTTAAATAAACTGAATTGAACTTTCTTCATTTTTTTTTACAAAAATTCATCAAATTATGATACAGGGAATCAATTATTTTACAAGAAGTCATATTGGTTATATATATATATATATATATATATATATATACACGCACATACACATATCCCTCCATTAGTATGGCTAATGTATACATTGGTAACTAAAAAAAGTCAATTTTCAATTACTATGGTTAAACTGAAGAATGCTTTACCGCAATAATCGAGTATTATGTATGCACTAATCGAATTTTGGTATATAATATCCATTTCCCCTTGGTTACTTGGATTGCATCTGAGATGAAAGTAAGATGTTTTCTTTGTATCTATTTGGGTACAATATCCATTCATTCTGTACCCATTAAATAGTCAAATAGATCCAAAATCTCCAGGATGAAATTTCCTTATTCCTTAAACAACAAGTAATGGAAGAGGTTTGTGGATGTATTTCTTAAACCTTATGATGGCATGACTAGTCATTTTTTTTTTTTTTTTTTTTTTCACAAACTTGTTGTTGGTCATTGATAAATTAAAATACCAAAATTCCACTTGGTGATGTATGCAACATGTATGTGTAGTTGACCAATGTCATTCCGTTTGTTGTCAAGCTACTCCAATTCTTTTCCTGCCAGATTGGTAGTAAACTAAAAAAAAAAGAAAAAACATATCGGAAGGAGAAGCACAAAGACACCATGTCTCATCAAATTTATTTTATGTCTGAGTTAATGGTTGGTATATATATATATATATATATATATATATATATATATATATATATATATATATATATATATATAAATCTCATAAAACTTACTTTTTTGTTAGTCAGGTGGGGTGACAGGAAACTCCAAAAAGACAAAACGATGTCTACCTCCCACAACAACTGAGCCATGCTACATGCCCTCACTGAGTGAGGAGAGTAGTGGGTGGGACCAAAAGAAACAAATTGCCAATAGGAATTATGAGTATTCAAAAATTTGGCGGGTAATAAAATACCCCATGTGACTAATGCGGGGTTAAAGCAACAAAAAACAGGAAATTATGGAGAACCATGATCCTGAAATGACTTGACATATAAAAGAAAATCAGTGACATCTTGTTAGCAGCAACTGCTCTTATTTGAATAAATTTATAGATGATTGTAAGTAATAATTGTATAAATTTTTATATTTGCATTTACACTAAACTTTTAGTTTTCTTGGTATTTTTTTTCTTTAACCAAGCTAATATTTTTAAGGTTTACAATGAAACATTTTTGTATTTTAATGTGACTCAAAGTATTTTTTATCATCTAAACCAGCATGTTCGGAATGTTGGTTTTTTTTTTTTTTTTCCATTTCTCAAAGAATGCAAATTTTTTGGCATAAAGATTTTGTTTAGGAGCTAATTCTTAAAATCTTTCTTAGCAATCAAGAACTTGTTTTTCCAACATGCTGTGACTTTGTGCAATTAACTTTTTTGTCATGTGCCATTTCTCCAATTAATATTAACAATTGTTAACACATTTGCTCAAATCATTGTACTCTTAAGTCATCTATGCTTTTGTTAGTTACCATTAGAAATTGTTCTATAAGACCACTTAGGCTTTATTTTGGCAAATTAAATTCATGAAACTATAAAGAATGTGAATGCGTGTCCTTGGCACAGGCTTTGTGGATATGCACTTTTTTGCTTTTGTTTTATAACAAATCAAGGTTAAAATCCTGAAAGAGTTATTTAAAAACTGTACAAGCAAGAATGTTGACAATAGTCAACATGTTACGTGTCATGTATTGCATGATGTGTATGTGTCATGTTGGAGAAAAATCATCTGAAATCTTGTCCATAAATTTTGACATTTAAATAAAGTTATTTTTTTCTTTTAGGGAAGAAATGGTTTGGGAAATATCTTTGTGTGGGCTTCTGGAAATGGTGGTAATGCACATGACTCTTGTAATTGTGATGGTTATACAAACAGTATTTACACACTCTCCGTCAGTAGCACATCAAAAAATGGTTTGAAGCCATGGTACTTGGAAGAATGTTCCTCAACTATTGCAACTACATACAGTAGTGGGGCCTTTGGGGAGCCACAAATTGTAAGTTTTCATTTTTTGTTTTTTGTGAGGTACCTTCCAACGTACTTTTGACCAGTTCACTTACTTAAATGAAATGTTTACATTTTAATTTTTTAAATCTATTTTAATGACTTTTTCAATATAGTTCTAAAAATGTTAATGTATATTTTTAACTTTTATTGTACATTAAGTGTTGCCTTTATATATATATATATATATACACACACATATAATTTTAATGATTAGAACATAGTTTTATCTTACAGTTACTATGATTATACTTACTGATATATTTCCTGATGTTTTTACAAAAATTGAATAGTAACATAAAAATACTGAAACAAAATAAAAAAGAAAAACTAACATTTCTATATTTGCATTTTTAACATTGCCAAGAACAAAAAATACTGTTTAACTATCAATAATAAAGATACTTTTCCTTACATTACTATCACAATACTAATCATATATGATGGTAAAATGCTTACATTTAGATGTCACACATTATTTTAAAATCACAAAGCACTTATTTTGATTAACTGCATTACTGAGAATGATTACTCGCTACTTACATAAATGTATTAACAGTTTTAGATGGCAATAATTTAAATGACAGATGGCTATAAAAGGCACTGTTGGTTATCTACAGCTAATTTGTTTAAATAATGCGCTCATTATTGTTTATTTGGTATGGCAATAATTGTATGTAAAGTGATGCATTAAAATAAGTAACAAAATAATCATTTTAAGTATTCTGAATATAGATGCCTTTTTAAAATTATAACTGTGGACAGTGTTTTGGTCAGCTTTTTTTTTCTGAGTGTTATGGTATTTTCTTGCAATTAAAACATCAGAAAAGTATTTAAATTTATTGCAATATTTTAAATTTTTGGGCAGTTTTTTTAACAAAAAAATAGTTCCCTTTTAATGTACATTTCAAAAGGTTCAAGACCTGCTTTCAGACATTGTTTCTTTATCTCTTTTAAAAAGTTTTATTCATGATTTATTACATCTGCAAAATAGGAAATGTATATCTGGTTTATGCTCTTTTGTATGGACAAAATCATCTGCTATTGTAATATGTAAATGACTTCCTAATTAGCATAGCTAAGGCATAGATATTCTATAAGTGCCCAAGCAATAAGGTGAGGGGCAGGATATGGTATGAACGATTAACAAATACTGCTGGACTGAGAAAATATGATAAAATATATAACCGATATGTTTTCTGGTATTTACATTATTAGGTTATCAATGGAAAACCCTATTATAACTGAACTGTAAATAAATTGTTTACTTTCCTACAAAATTGTTTAAGCTGTGCATTGTTCCTTTCATAAATCTAACTGAAGCACTGCAGTAATTTTATCCTTTATTTATATTGTTTTGATGACATGCAATTTTTGTTTATAGTTGAAACCGTTAATAATGCAGGATTTGAAAAGGCTTAGTAGCATTAAATTAATTGGTAATTACAGTTAGTGTCATTCTGAAATGTTCATAATCATCACTTACAATCTGTGGCTTTTAATAAATTTATAGTTACAAGCATTGGAAACTATTTTAATAAGCAATTCACAAAGAACATTCATTGTTTTCTTTTATAATCTAAATCTGATGACGTTCGTTTTTTTTTTTTTTTTTTTTTTTTTGTTAAATTAAGGTAACTGTTGACCTTCGGGGTACATGTACAACCTCACACACTGGTACATCTGCCTCTGCTCCACTGGCTGCAGGAATTGTTGCTCTTGCATTGGAAGCCAAGTAAGACTAAAAAGATATTTATCACTACTAATTTTTAACTAACTTGTTTATTTTTTTCCAATCCATGCTTCTTGCTGGTATGAAAATTACCTGGTAATTGCGATAAAAAGGGAATAAAAACACATTCAAAGAAATGCTTACTAGTCAAAAATTAATAACTGCTACTGCTTCATCTAAGAAATTGAGGCATCTTAAGACTATTATATAATATTACTATCTCTGCGGTATGTCCCTTCAGGACATGGGTGTTCATGACTCTCCACAGCTTCCTGTCATTCAGCAATACTTGCTCCTTTATGGCCCTTATTCTTCCATCCATTTACTCAATTTTATCATGTTGGTTTCTTTTACTTTCCTCTGCTTCTCTTGCCAATGACATTTCATGTTAAATTCTCCAAGTCCTTTTTATTCATTATCTATTCTAAAAATTTCACCTGTCTTCTTTCTGATTAAAGAATTGTTTCCTTCTCAGTTTTGCATTTAGATTTCACATGATAATTTCATGTGACATGTTCAGAGTTAATATTGTCTCATGTATTGTAAAACTTGGATTTGCGTTGTGGTGTAATGGATATTGAGTCGGAGTGAGAACTCTGAGAGCCAAGTTCAAATTCCAGTCAAATTCATTAGATTCACTTACGCACAAATACCCTTGGGGAAAGGTATGAATCCATTTCTTCTCCTCCAGCTATGGGTTGAATAGCAGGACAGACTGGGTTCTTTAGCCTTGGTTGGCAACCAGTCTACCACAGAAAGAAATGGCAACCTAATGCAGGAAAAAATCTGCCTCCTCAGTCATGTATCAAAAGATACATGGTCACCCAAGCATGTATCACATATGGCACTTAACTGACTGATTGTAATACTTATTGATTTCTTTTATTGGCACTTTTGAGTGCATATATTATTCTGATCACCATATTGAATGACTTGTATATCACTTTCATCCAAAGGCCCCTGTCTGATAGTTGCCAGTACCCAAAAACACACTTCCCTTTTTTTTTTTTTTTTTTTTTTTTTTTTTTTTTTTTTTTTTTTTAATATTAAGCCAGCATCTGTCTTGTTCTTCTCTTCTCCTACATCTACAACATTCCTTAGTTCCACCAGTTCTAACTTTCATGGCTAAGATCTGCCATATCAAGCACACTATAGCAAACCACCCTCATTCTTTCAAGCAGCAGCAGCTACCAACAAACTGCTGTTTTGTGGAACTGGCTCCCAAGAGGATGCTTCCCTGTTCACTACAATCTTAACCTGTTCAAGTTAACAGTCCCCACATATTCCTGTCAACTATGCCTCTTGCTCTGCAACCCTCTACCTCAAGTAGCTCTTGCGCCTCGTAAAGGGTGAGCATCATTATAAAAAAAAAAAAAATGACAACGCAGTCTTTGCTTATAAAATCTCTTTATCTATCTTGTTCAAAATGCTCCCAGAATGTTAATATTCAGCTTCCATTTCTTGTTTCACATTTTCTAACTATTCACATTGATAAAGTGTTCTGCCATTTCCATGTCCTCATAGTGATCTTATCTTTGTTGCGGACAGTCGCTGGATGTGTCTCTCCTTACCAAGCGAGGAATCAGTTCTGAGAGAGCTGGCCCCATTCATGCCACTATCTGATATTTGTCAGCTGTGAATTGCCATGATTGTTCTTGGAAGAGATAGTGGAGTGGCTTCCTATTGTCTTCTCCAGAGTTATTATCCAAACACCATCTTTAGTTAGCTGGTTGTTGAGTTCATCTGTCATTTTGGTAGGTTTTATTTTTCTTGTCAAATATGAGTCAAAAATGAATAATTGGCAATGCTTCATCTAAGAAATTCAGACTACTTAAGCTTATTACATCAAATTACTACTTGATATAAGCAAGAAAGTGAAATAGGATGAAAGAAATGGTAATCAAAAATTAATAATTGAAAATATCAGGCAGCTTAAGACTGTTATGTTAATAAATATTGACATCTACAAATCAGGTAATGAGGAATGTACATACTGTATATACTTGCATATCATGTGACATTTGAAGCTAATTTTAAGGGAGTTGTATACTACATGAGATATAAAATTAGCATATTTACTGCTGGTCCTAGCTACACTGTTGACCAAACTATATATCCATTTACTGTAGTCAAATCCGTTTCAGAATTAGGTCTTTCAAAGGTTGCCTGATACATGAGTATATACAGTATGTGAATAAATTTGGTGATTACTTTAAAGAAACCTAATAAGTAAAGCATTATCCTGGTCAGATAAGAAATATAGGTTCAAATGCCATAGCAATCTTATTTCTAATCCCATACTATTTCAGTTGTAGTATGCATAAATGACTTGCACATTTCGATAAAAAGACCAATAAGAATTATATGGAAGAAAATTCATCCAAAACTGATATTTACATATTGTATAATATTTATTCATTATCATGAAATATAAAACTGTAACCTTTAATCAAGCCACTTGATGCAAGGTGAAAAAACAAAGTAGAATTGGGTAATAACAGTTGGCAAAATACCAACAAAGTATAGAATATGTCATTTGAGAAATTAGTTAAAATTGAGAAATGAATTTGATTCTTACATGTTTACAGCAACTAAAACTTTCAGATTCCCCTTTGACTTTTCAGCACAATTTCCACTTTAAGTGGATACCAATTCATATAAGCTATTGGTCAACTCCTTCATCTATTTGACAGTATTTATGATAATTATAATTCCATGGTAAAAGGAAATAAGTCTTTTACTTTATCTTTCACTTTAAAAAACAAAGCAAAAAAAATCAGTTCCTTGTACTTTGCTGTCAGTTCCTCTATTTTCATCTAATTATTTTTGATAAACTTAAATTTATAATTTAATATTTGTCATACAAATCTAAAGGATCTCTATCAAGATCAATATTTAAATTGTTTTTGTTTTCAAGTCTATAATAGCAAGGCTTATCTAATCTACATTTCCACTAAAATATAAGCTTTATTGAAATAACTTTATTACTATCAGTGAATTTTATTATTGAGTTACAATTTTGCATACAAGTTTATAAAATATCAGCTTTTAATATTCAAAATATTGCTCAGCAATTTAACCCTATGTATGACTTATAATAAATGTATTTTATATTTGTTTTTGTTCTTATCTAGTTTTACTTATAAACATTGACTTAATTGATTTTTATACAATTAAATGCAAGTTTTATTTTTAAAAATCCATTTTGTAATCTTGTCTGCAATCTTAAATATCAATCCTAGTTCCTCATAATATAGCTGTATCTGCTTTGGTTCTAAAAAAAAAACCCTGTCATTTATAATTTTATTTCTATTGATTGCTTAGGAAATTCTCTTTTCCTAAAGATGACTATTCACAGGAAAACTCACTTTCTCAAAGAACTACTTATTAGACTACAGCTTGGATAACTATTTCTTGCAAATTTAATCATTTTTAGTAAACACTTAATTTTTGTGCATTTGAATGCTTAAGAATATTGGTCTTAATGTATCTTTTTGCAGTGCAACTTATATTGCAAATATTTACTCAGGAAATCAATAAATATTGCTGAAATTCTTGCAATATAAAAACAAAACAATGATTTTAATATTGCCCATTTAGAAAAATTGTTACTTTGAATTTTTGTCTGGTTAATTGATGTATTTTGTTTTTCTTTCTACTTTGCTATTGTTAAATTGATTCTACTGGCACATTTTTACTTTGCTCTGACATTCAAAGCTTTGTCTGACAACTGTTTCCTTATAAAGCATGGAAGATTGAACAAATTAAGTTCTTTTAAAAAAAATTGTCTGATTCTATCATTAGATAGGGAAGACTAATCACTTGTAGGTGTTAAATGAACAGTGCAACAATCAACTAAATTTTCTTTTTCTCTCTACTAAGCTTTCAACTGGTATAACCAATATTTTCTCTACTTTTTTGTCTTAAGTAACTAACTAATAATAGCAATTTTAAGTAAAACACTAGTAGCTCATTATTCATTCTAATTTTAAAATAAAAATTATACAAATTGATTCAAAGAATATTACTTTTTTTTTTTCATGCTTAAAATTATCATCTCAGTGATATTCAACATTTGCTATTACAAATGGTAATTGAGAACATTTCTGGCAATTGGAAGCAAATGGAAAACATACTTGTTAACTGAACAAAACCAAAAACTTGATAAATTAGTTTGTATCTTGCAATGTTTTTGGTCTTTTTTATTCCATGTACAAATACTTAAATCTGAAGATTCAAAAAAAAGTGTTTGAATTAATATTAAGAAATATTATACCCAATTAATAGGTGGTGGAGGGTTTTTTTGTTTTGTTTTTTTTTGCTTTTATAGATAAGCATTTGAAAATTTGAAGCTTAAAATAGTATGTAAGGATTTAAACTGATGTCTTTTGCAATAACTATTTTTACAATCATGTTAGATGTGAAGTTTCTTGGAAATAAAGATGGTATTTTTTTATAATAGAAATATTCAAAAATTCATCTAAGTCAAGATGATCAAAGGAATTAAGTAAAACTTTTAAAAAAAAAAAAAAAGAATATGCTTAAAATATTGCTCAGATTTTGTAATACATACAATGCAAAAGTTTTTGAGATAACAAAAATACTATAAGAAGAATTGGATGTTTCAATCTAAAGATTGATGCAGACAGATTTTTAATCCAGAAAAATGGATTTATTCAATTATTGCATACTTGGGAATAGCTGAAATTGGATAGTAGGATTTGAACTGCTTTTGCAGAATTTAAATGTTCAACTTGTATCAAAATTAAAATACAAATATTATTTTTATAATTTTTCCTCTTTCCAAGTAATGAACTAACTTGGCGAGATGTGCAATATATCACAGTATTAACTGCCCGACCAGAACCAATGGTAGATGGAGAATGGACCCAGAATGCACTTGGAAGAGAAGGTATGAACTAAAACACTTGAATGATCACATGAGATTTTAAATTTAGCTGTTATTTGATCAAATATATAAAGTTCTTTTTAAGAATGTAAAGAAAACTCAATTAAGTTTAAGTATATAGTTGTTTTTCTTTTACTGGTTTTTACTTTTGGTCTTTTTTCTTGTGTATATGAAATTCTGTGACTTCTATCAGTTCATCACACATTCTAAAATAGCCATCGAAACCAAATTTTGAGAAGTGCAAACAGGTAAGGAAGTATAAAGTACAGTTGGTTTTACTAGGATGTGTAAAAACTGCAAATCAGCTTATTCAGATTTCAACGATTCATTTGTATCAACTGATGAAATTTGAATTAGATGATTTGTTTAGAAAAATACTTTATTAAAAACACTACTTCAGTTCAATAATTTTTTTAATTTAATTTTATAGGACTTCATGGTAAGCAATATTTTTTTAAGAAATTTTTTTTTTCTTTTTAACAGTAAAGAATAAATTCTTAGGAGTTCTTACTTTTGTGCATGCAACATCCAACTAGCTATGTGTAAATATTTCTTTCCAGTGCCAAATTCTAACTTTTGAAGTCCTGTATTTTGTTTTCACAAATGCAGGGCAAACTGGATTCTTGTATATATAAAAAATTACAGAAAAGATATGCAAGAAAACAATATTGCATTTTTATTAAATAAGTATGTTATTTTAATCATTAAATTGTTTTTAAAATAGTGGGAGTATTTTGTATGTTAAATAATAAAACTTAATTTTTCCAAAGGAATGAATGAAGATTTATTATTTACACTATTTACATTGCTTGGACTGTTTTCATCTTCATTGCCAGATCCATGATATTTTGGCAGTTGTATGTTGTGGCCTTCTACAGGTGATTGGAATTTTGAGCTGAACTGTTTATTTTGTCCACTGGGTTAGATTGTTCTAGTTCCACCTGCCATACCTCTTCCAGATGTCTCAGTATCAGTTCTCCCTAAATATAAACAGATATTGAAAATTTATTGTATTAAGATACACACCCTAGTAAAACCAACTGTACTTTGTACCCTCTTACCTCTTTGCACCTCCACCCACCAAAAAAAAAAAAAAATTGGTTTCAATTGATCAATGTATAGGCTATTTTAGAGGGTGTGACAGGCAGACTAATGGAAGTCACAGAATTTTATATATAGATGAAAGTCTTGCTCTGTGTACTGCATATCATTTTTTTTTTTTTTTTAAACATTTTTAGTCAGTTTACGTTATGGTTATGGATTAATGGATGCTGCTGCTATGGTGAAAATGGCTAAAATATGGACAACGCTTCCAGAAAAACACATCTGTGAAATAGCATCAAAAGATGTACAATCGTAAGTAAATGACAACTTTTCACATCATAGATTGACACTTTATGACCACATGTGAATATTTAAAATTATTTGACATGAAATTTGTTCACTTTCTAAAATTAAAAAAAATTTAAAGCATTTTAATTAACCATAACTGTATGTCTATACATTTCTTCAGACCAACTTTGAAAAATTTCATTGGAATTGAGAAATCATCTATAGTGGCTGGGATTCGAGGAAGCCCAAAAACAACACTTAATGGATAAGAATGGAACCCTTTGCCTAGAACAGGCTTGTTATTCCCATTAGTAATGGTAACATTATATGCCATATATTGGTCTATGGTCATATCAAGGTCAAGAATCTGTGCTCACATTACCAGATGTATCACTATAACCAGGTGAAGATTACTTTTCATTTGTCTGGGAGCATCAGTCTGCTCACTGGTTCAGCAACATCCTGAACTAGAAGCTCCTCTACCCATGTTGTTTAGATAAGATCTGAAGAAGATCCAAGTTCAGGGTTGAAACATTGCAAGCTGAAGTGGTCACACAAAATGGATTTCAAAATTTGATTGAAGTCCTGAAATAATGACAAAGGCCAGAATAACTTAAGATTTTAACAAAACAGTTTATTTTAGATGTTGGTCACATAAGTGTTCCAAACTAGGCACTTTCTTTCTCTAATTCTAATGCTTGACAGTAGTATGTAAGATTCTGAACTGAGTTTGTCATTAACAGCTATGAGGATGATAGAACAAGTTGTATGCATTTGCTCATTTTCCCATTTTCAAAGGTTGGGGGCATAACTTGGTAGCCTGTTCTTATGGTTGCTAGAATTAGGTCTTGGAACTTTTGAAAGAAGGTGCAGCACACAAGCATTAGAGGTAACTCGGTCAACACATTTGATTGAACTGATTGGAATAGAGAGAGTAAACACCTGATTCCTAAACAATAATAAACCTTGCATTACAACATCACTCATATTGCAAATATATGAGACAAGCAACCTGAAGCTGGGATGGGATGTTTTTAAACATAGCACATTTCTCCATTCATTTGGTTTGTTCTATGCAACATTCCTTGTCTGGTCAGCAATTCTAAATTAATGATTCATTGGAGAAAAAAATCTCCAGATTTCAAATCAAAACCAAAATCAATTTTAACCACAGAAGGTATTAGAACTTAAAGTCAACTAATTTGACTGAATAATGATGCTATGAATTTAAAAGAATAAGATATTTTTTTTAATTCTAGAAACTTGTCATCAATCTCATATTCTAATTTTTTCATTTTATTGGAGAGGAGGGGTCATATTATATACAAGTATACATTTTAAGCAATTTTTACTTGTCTTAAAAAGCCACTTATTTGAAATGGCAAGATTGCAAATACTCAGTTTTCACAACAGATAATAAAACACAAAGTAGGCAGGTGTTGTTAACAACTGTTTGCAAAAAAAATATGTTTAGGATTGGTTTTCCAGCTCCTAAAGTCTTCTCATTTTATTTCACTCTCTGTAGCCCTTTGCGTCTTAGTAACATTATTGTCTTGCTTGGGATGAGTTGATTTTAAAAATAAAAAAAAAGCTGGCAATATTTGTTCTTTAGTAATTGGTGTAAAGTTTTTTTTTTTTGTCATTGTAGAGAGGAAATTCATTAAAATTTAATAAAAAATAAATAAATAAAAATAGTAAATTAATAAAAGAATACACAAGATCTATCATGTTTTTATAACTTGTGATTTATTTCCTCTTTTTAGCTTCAGAAATACATGGTTGTATTATATTTAAGGCATATTATACACAAAAAAATACAGTATATTTATAGCAAATAATCTCTTAGGCATTTCAGAAAAAATGTCCAGTCTTGCCTTTTTTTTTTTTTTTTTACTGCAATAAATGAAATCTAAATTTACCTTTTTATTTTTTTGTACTTTTCTGCAGCGTATTGTCCAGCAACACAATTCACAAAAGCATCTTACATGTGGACGGCTGCCAAGATACAAGCAGTTCAATAAAGTTTTTAGAACATGTCCAAGCACAAATATCACTACATTACAGTCGTCGTGGTGACTTACGTATCAATCTAACTTCTCCAAACGGAACTCAATCTACACTGTTGCCACCACGGCCTAATGATTGGCAAGCTGCAGGCTTTAACAAATGGCCATTTCTTTCAGTTCATTTCTGGGGGGAAAGTCCACAAGGAGAATGGGTACTGGAAATAGAAAATGTACAGGACCATCATCATAATAATGAGGGTAAGAATGTTTTTTAAATTTTTTTTCTACATCTTTCAATTACATATGCCCCTCATAATTTAATAATCATTTGTTTATGTCTCTTTGTTTCAGTTACTAGTGAGACAATAAATTAATAATAACCAAATTACTCATTCACTCATTTTAATTTGTCATAAGCAATTTTAAAAATGTTTAAATTCTGAAAGGTTTCTTTCAAAATTTCAATAGAATATTAAAGTTTCAGCCAAATGCCCTGCCTAAAGTGACAATACTTCTTCTTTAATCAAGGCTCACCATATATTTAAGGAATATAACTATATCCTGTTTTAATATGAAGCAGAAGGATTACAGAAATAGTTAGTATATATATATATATATATATATATATAATGGATTTTTTTAAAAATTTATTAATCTGACATATTTTATCCCTTTAAATGATATTTTTAGTGGATACCCATATTTGAATAGACATTTTGTTTATTTTTTTTGTTTTGTTTTAAACAGTATTTCATTTTCATCTACCAGCCTGAATATTTAAAAAATCTTATTAAAGAAAATGCAAATATTCTTGAATTTTCAGTCCAGTAGATGAAAATAAAATACTGTTTAAAGAATAAACAGAATCTTTTCAAATATGGGTATCCATTAAAAAAATGTTTACAGTGATAAAAATATATTGGATAAATAAATTTAAAGAAAGAAAAGAACATTATTATTTTTAGTAATTGCTTTGTCTATGTTTTGGATACAAAACTGAGCAGTTATGAACTTTCAATATTCTAAAACAAGATGTGCTTAAAAGGCAGTATACAAACTTGTTTGATCAATGGCACCCTTCATGGCCGAGTTGATTAAAAGCATATCAGATCTAATGACAGTTTCTACTGCAAAGGATGGCACAAGTTCATATCATGTCGGAGGACACGTTTTTCTTTAATAAGATTTTTTTGAATATTCAGGCCAATAGATGAAAATAAAATACCATTTAAAAAAAAATAAATGGTGCATCTAGTTAAATATGGGTTATCTTCAGTGAATTTGAAACCGAAACCATTATTTAATCTACAAGGCGAGATATCTCTAGGCATGGAGATTAGACAATAACTATCTACATCCATATATCTAAAGGGTTCAGTTACCGGAATGAAAAGATAATTGAAGAAGGTTGGAGAGCACAAAGGCCAAAATATTTTTATAACAACAAAAATGAAGACATTAGTCCAACTGTAAATAATGCAAATAACTACTTCATTTTGAACTTATCTTTGAAATAATGAAAATTTGCTTTGGTCATGTGATAACAACAACTCAATACAAATTGCAGAAAATTATAATCATCGAGATATCTGAACACCAAAGTAGGGAAGGAATGAGATAGTGAAATAGGTGGCAAATTTGGATCTGTAATGAACATAGAAAAATAGGTCCTGTGGTACACAGCAAATGACCAATTAGTGGTCAACAGCTGGTTTCAAGACCATCCAAAATGCTGAGGGACATGGCAAAGCTGAGGAGGAGAAATGAAAAAACCAGGTTTACTGCATAACAATCAATAAGAGATCGAGAAATGCATGTTTACATTGTAAAATATATTGAAGTGCCGACTGTGGGAGCAATCTCCTTTTAGTGGTATTTTCCAAATAAAACTACAGAAATTAAAGAAAGCCAAAACTGCACCTAAATTACAATACAACAGACTCCTGAATGACCCAAACTGAAAAGATATGCACACTGACAGTGTTGAAAGCATATACAATAAATTAAATTGGAATGAAAATTCAAAATGGAACATATTAAGAAAAGTTTTAATGACATCAGCTAATGAGATCATCCCAAGCCAAACTAAAAGAAAAAAAGGAGTGGATGTCTGATGACAAAATGGTGAAAAAGAGACAGCAAACAATGTCAATATATGACACAGAATACAGTAAATTACATAAAGAAATTAGAAACAAATACAGGCAGGCAAAAAAAAAGGAATGGTTTGATGAAAAGTGTGCAGAGATTGAAAGACTGAACATCACTGATAAAGCAGACATGCATTAAAGAATGAAAAATAACAGATCAAAAGACGTGCTCATCAAAACTGCTGATAATAGAGAAAGAAAAATGCCCCAAAGATGGAACAAATATGTCAGGGAACTCTCCTACAATAAAAGAGAAACTCGCAATACACAAAAATACAGAAAAATCTGAAATACTAAAGTCTTGAGTGAGATCAGCACTGGCCACAGTGAACAGGAACAAAGCAGCAAGACCAGAATGGATCGTAATGGAGATGCTAGCAGTCTTAGATGATTTCCATATTAATATTACAGAAATGATAAATGAAATATACAATAGTGGGGACATGCTAGCAGACCTTAGATCTATTTCTATGGTGCTGCCTAAGAGGTCAGATGCAAGTGTATGTTAGCTCCATCAGACAAATGTCCTAATGATGAATGCATGGCAAAAATAGACCAGAAACAGGACAAGAAAGGTGTGATTTTGTTGAAGACCACTGGAACAAGGAATGTAATATTTATTCTCAGAATATTAGAAAGAGCAATACCAATGTAAGATGTAAACCTAAGTTTTATAGATTGTGCAAAAAGTATGACACAACTGTTTGAACTGCGAGGAGAGTATGATTTATTCAAGAAAGATATCAGAATAATCCAGTACTTATACTGAGAGCAAACTGCCTGCATGTGGATAGAAAATTAATTCAATAAATAGAATAGGGTATAAGACAAGGATGTGTCTTCTCTCCAGACTTATTCAACCTTTACAGTGAGGCAATCCTGAGAGAACTAGAAGTCCTACCAGGATTTATTATTGGACACAATCTTAATATATGCAGATGACACAGAAGGAAACTCCAAGAGAAGGTAGTAAAGAAATGTGAGAAGAAAAGCAAATCATTTTTTTAAAGCAATTCACTCCAAGCAAGGCAGGAGTTCCACTAGCACGCAAGGGGTTACAGAGGATTGAGAACAAGAGTAAAGAGGTGTGTTTGAGGAAAGGATATAGAAAAGGACGGGGAACAAGATCAAGGTATCAGAAGATGTCAATTGACATTCACTTGAATATTTGAAGATTATAGTTATCAGGGAAGCAAGTAAGAGGAAGGGAGTTCCACAGATGGGAAGTGCGAGAAAAGACAGTTACATTTAACTGTTTCGACAGTGAAAGGGTGGGACCGAGATGCCAGCCTAGTAGCTTAAATTCATGCAGTTTGGGAACCAACGAAAGTAGCTCATCGGAACAGTTGCCATGAAATTACTTGTAGAAGAGATGGGGGGAAACCACGGCACATCTGTGAGAAAGCAACTGTAGACTAGATGCCAGATCAGGACCTATCGTTTGTTGTAAGAAACCAAAATGTATGGCTGTCAGCTAGAGGAACAGCCCAAGATGTGAACTATGAACTAGATTTTGGAATCAATAAAGTATGAAAATTTGAACATCTGAGAAGTATTTTAACAGTGAATGGAAAATGTGATGCTGAAATCCAAAGGAACATCAGAATAGCAACAGATATTTTCCAAAAACTAAACAAGGTATTAAAAAAATAGGAAAATTTTATTAGAAATAAAGAAAAGAGTGCTGGCCTGTTATGTGATATCAATCCTCCTTTATGGCAGTGAATGCTGGACAAGCTCTTCACAGATTAAGCAAATTTGAGGCAACAAATGTGCTTCAACAGAAGAATGCTGAGAATACCATGGACTGAACATGTGATTAATGAGGAAAGTTTTAAGAAAAATAGAAACAAGAAAGATATTTATACTTAAAATACTTGGGATGCATTGTGTCATGGATATCAGCTCGAAATGAAAAAACTGAGAACAGAGTTCAAATTCCAGTCAGGTTCATGACATTCACTTACATGCAAATACCCTTGGAAAAGGTGTGTATCCCTCTCTTCTCCTCCCAACTATAGGTTGAATAGCAGGACAGACTGGGTCATTATAGCCTTGGTTGGCAACCAGTCTACTACAGAAAGAAACAGCAACTTACTGCAAGAAAATCTTCATGACTAGTCATGAATCAAAAGATATGATCACACCCAAGTGTGCATACATATGGCACTTAACTGACTGATACTTAGAATCAGAAAAAGATAGTTGAAATTTCTAGGACAAAAACTGAGGAATGAGTGGTTGGAAAATTTGATATTTGCAGGACATGTTGAAGACAAGAGAGGCAGAGGGAAACAGTAATCTACCTCAGAGGTTTGTGTAAATTGATGGCAGAACAGGGACTGAGGGGGGGGGGTGAAAAGACAAACCAAACTAAGAGCTATAAAGGATAGGAAGTTGTGGAGAGCTATGATCGCCCATGTCGTGAAGGGGCATGGCACATAGAAGAAGATAACAACAAAGAAAATTAGTCCAACTGTAAATGATAATTCCTCTTTCCAAATAGAAATGAAATGGTTACTGTATTTATTTTTAAGATATGTTTCTTTAAAATGTCTGGATGAATGAATGAGGATATTTTTCAACATAAATATGTTCATATTTAATATCAACTTTCTGTGGGAATGAGTTAATATTTTGGATTTTTAAAAACTTCAGGTAATCTCTTAAATTATGTTTATAACCAAATACAAATTAATAGTTACATTTCTTTGTGTTGACTCATCTAAAAAAAAATCACACAGATGAAGTGCCTAAACGTAAGTACTTTGAAATATCAATTTATATAATTGTGTACCATCACGAGAATGTCATTTCAATAAATTGACATGGCTCAATCAAGATTATAGTTACAAGTTACAATGGTAGAAGTTCTATACATGTTCACAGCAAAGATGTGAACATGTATAGAAACTTAGACTTATTTTATGTCTGCGATATTCACTTAACTTTTGTCTATATTTTCTCTTCTTTTATCACTTCCAATTTTCATTGCCCGTCCGTGTTTTTGTCTAAATATTAAACAAAATTCAGTTTGACTACTGCTTACCACCCACACACTTTGCTTATACAAAAGGATACAGAAATAAATTGTTTATTAAAACTTTC